AGTAGGGTTTCACTCTCCCATGATTGGTCCACTTGGCAATTCACTTTTTCAAAAAAAATTATAATAATATTTATGTCTTACTAAACCACAAATACAACACATTTATTCATATACATTAATCTACCATTTAATACCAAATTGTAACCATCATACAAATGGTGTATTAATTGTATTTCCACACTCAATGTCATTCAAACACACTATAAATTCAAATTGTAACTCCTATAATTTAATTACTATCAAAATGTAACTTCCATCACTTTCTATACTATAAATAATCATTCTCACATCTTCTTCCACCATATCTCAAATCCTAAATATTTTCTTTGTTTTTGTGTTGTTGCATGAGTTGAAAAATCAATTGAGACATCATTGTAAAGGTTTGATTATAAATTTTGTTTTAGAGACTATAAGGTATATATTTTACATTGTTTTCAATTTTATTTTTATTCTAATGTCTTACTTGAATATACTTATTCTTTCTTTAATTTTCATATTTTTAGTTCAAAACTACAATTGTATAATAATAAATTTGATGGCTATAATTTCTGATCTTAATTCAAAATTACATACTTTGCAGATTTAACAATGAAGTTTTCAAATATCAATTCAACCATTGCACAAGAAGAAAATCCAGTTGAGAAGATCCATCTCTATTTTATACAATAAATAAATTATTGTAATATCAAATAATATTTTTGTTAAATTTCTTACATACTTCTTTCTTATCTCAAATAATGTTTTGTATTATTTTTAATATACTCATCAGATTAATTTTTGTGATCCAATAAATAATTATATAAAAATCATTAACTAAAATGTTTATTCTCTTCAAAGCTTGTGGTTTAAGTTAATTTCTAAAATAAAAGAATTTATTTACAAAAATTTATAATCCAACCTAGCAATTTAAATCATATAAATATTTAAATTGAGTTGAATATAAAAAATATTTAACATAAATATCTTAATGTTGTATAATTAAAATAAATAATAGTGTAACAACATTTTTTGTATATCTAGAAAATACATTATATGACTTTCACTCTCTGGTTTTTAATATTTTCAAATATTTAATATTATGATATAATACTATCTATTATTAACTCACATTTAAATTTATACGTAATTTGCATACAAAATAATTATAAGAACATCAAAACCCCACTAAAATACATTTATTACTTGACTAAAATCATTGACCATAATTTTTAATTTGAATGGTTTTCCTACTAATTTTACAAAAAACTGTAACTCCCTAAATGTATTTATTTTCTAAAAATAACTTCCAACACTCATCATCTTACAAATAATCTTTCTTTCATTTTCCTCCACCAATATCTCAAAAATTTAATATATGCATAATGATCTAACATATATATATTATTTATTTATTCAAGGTTTGTGGTTAATAATATCATTATTATTTTAATTTTAATTAAAACGGTTCAATAATCTTAATTAGTAGTAAAAGTTTTATAAAGGTGAAATATCTAAAATAAATTTTATCAATATAACTTGAATTGCGTGGGATAATGAGAAAGAAAGAAAATAGTTTAAAATTATTCTCCACATATTATATATATATATATATATATATATATAGTTTTTACTCAAAAATTATTTAACTTTTTGTTATTGTAAATCAATCAAACGAGTTTTACATGAACAAACGAACAAAAAGTTTAAATACCATATTAATATATATGTAATTTTATTCCTATTTCTAATTAAATTTAGTCGAATCATTTGATTGTTACACTACTATTAAAATCTATAAAAAACAATAATAAGTCACGCGTAGCGTGGCTACATATACCTAGTATATTAACAAAAAAAAGGTCAAAATATTTTTAAAGGGCTTTTCGGGCTAGCCCGAGCCCGGCCGGGCTAAGCCCAAAAAATCTTTTAGCCCGAACGGGCTTAGCCCGAAAGGCCCGATTTTTTCTGGACATATATTTTGAAGCCCGAGCCCGCTGTTTTTCAGGGCTGAGCCGGGCTAGCCCGCGGGCTTTGGCCCTAATTGACATGTCTACTCCTGAATAAATAAAACAGTGAAAAAGTAGGTTTAATATCCTCAATCTCGCGTGTAAATTAGGATATTATGGCAGTAAATTAAACCCTTGTTTTAACTACGGAAAATAATAGTATGTTCCATTAGTTGAGCTTAATAAAAGAAAACATGAAAACATGTGCATTTATAAATTAGTACAGTTCTATCAAATACTTAATATTTGTTTCAAATAAAGTACTATAAGTAGGTATCTATGGCCAAAGTAAAGTTAATATGTGACCCGGTTGATGAGTAAATAGAAGGTATGGGCGATGTATACCAAAGGACGTGGTATACAGTTTCAACCGATTTTTTTTTCATGAAATTTTAACTAGTCGTGGAAGATCGTAACTTATATCCATTATGATATAGTATTAATGTGCATATACAATATATACATGTTATTTTTAATTCATTTTAGAAGCTCAATGCACGCCGTCAAAAAAAAAAAAAAAAAAAAAAGAAGCTCAATGCACGTCGGAAGAATAATAATTTTAGAAGCTCAATGCACACAGCCAAAAACCCACGACGTGCTTCGCAACATTCCTCTTGTTTCTTGTACAAGTTTAGATTTTTCAAAATATTTATAAAATACAATTTTCAAACAATTGGTAAATATGATACATCTATTAAAAAAAAAAAAAAAAAAAAAAAAAAAAAAAAAAAAAAATGATACATCTATTAATTTAGTTTTTAGCTTATTATGTAGCAAAAAATGTATTCCATAATAGTCGTTTTCTCGACAAAGCTAGAAAACACGTTACTTTTTTTTGCCGTGAATTTTCCAATTTGTAATAGTGAAAAAAAAGTTGTAAAGTTTGGAGAAAATTTTTTTATCTAAAAGAAAAATTTGGTAAATAAAATTAAATATTGTTCTCGGAAAAAAATTTCGCAACTAAAAATACAAAAGTAATAGTCGTTTTTCTTTTTGTGATGATGCTTCAATAAATAATAAGACCTTATTATTTAAAATCCTAATAATCCGCATGTTAATGTAAAATAAACGAATAAAAAGATATTACTGATGAAATTGAAAGGTTCATTGGGTAATGTGTCAGTGGAAGATTACCGTGTATTACTATAGACTAGAGTATAAGCCGAAAATGTGCTAGTAATTAATTATTTCTGCGAATCATATTCATTCTTCAAGTTGGTTTAAATTTAGAGAGGAAGTGCACTAATTACGTAAAACTCTACTGTGAGAGTTAATACGAGCCTATGACCATAAAAAGTCAAATAAGGAAGAGTAAATCTTATTGGTCGGTAAATTGAGAGTCTTAAGGATTCAGTTACAGTAGTCTATAAATAATTTCTAGAGAATAATTTGATTTGTGGTTTGCTCCAGTAATTTAGATTTTGCTAGTGGGCATTGAATAAAGGGACATAAGTATTAAACTAAGTAATAAATAATCATGCTCCATATTAACCCCATAAGTTATGGACTTTTGAGGGGTCGACAATTCAATGGATGTATTCACGAAAATGGAGGTGACATTAAATTAGGCCTGCGTGGTGTAAGTTGCTAAAATTTGGAAATCGATGAATTTATTATACTGTATTTTGTTCTATCAGAATAATTATTTATATATGTATACATCAGTTCGGTATATGGACTCTCTTATGCTGGTTACAAAGATCTTGTCGATGCAGTTCATATAGTTAAAGATAAAACTCTTTGGGCAGTATTTATTTTCTTAGTCAATGCAATATTCCAGTGTAAAGTAAAATTCGAAGGTAATAACTGTGTCAGGCATCCAAAAAACAAATATATATTTTATTTAAGTGATAAATGATATGTCATCAAAGTTTTCTTTAGTTATTTACTTGTAGTATTGAAAGAATATTTATTTAATTTAGATGGAATACTTCACTTATGTAAATCAAATACTTATCTATATTGATAAATCGGAAGAGAATATTTCGGGCAGACGCAGCATAAATGGGTTCAGCATTACTCAGAAAATCTTTTCTCTTAGATAAAAGAGCTTCTAAAAAAGCACATTTTCTATTATAAGGTATTTATCTGATAAAACAATAAATACAAGAAAAATCGAAATAATAGCCCTTTTTTCTCTCCTTTTAATTTTGTCTTCTTTCGGTGCCACCTCCTTTAATTTCTCTCACACATCCTGCATTAATCAGCACCACACGGTTTTGAATGTCCAAACTGAGATTTATTCATATACATGCATATCTTATACATGTATATTCTGTCAAAACTCCGCATATTCGCTGTAAAATATGTGACTTAATTCTGTAAATGATTTTAAACTCGATGGGTTTAACAAAATAATTCAAACATATTTATATATACTTTTTAAAAAATATGAATATATTAGATTTTTTTACACAATCTTGAGATTGATGATAGAGGTGTCAACAAGTATATGAGTTGAAGCCTGTTATAAGTTATTATGAATCCGATTATTATTATTGTTTTTGTGTGTTTAATGTTTGCCTTTCACATGTGTAAAAAGACTAATACTTACTAGTATAACTATAATCTAATAATGTGTACTAATATCCATTGATGTGTGTGAATTGATAGTAAAATAGAGACAAAAACGCAAAGTACATAACAGGAAGGACCGAAGGAGGTTTACTATTTGCGTTTATGTTTGTTGCTTTTAAATAAAAACACCAAAAATATCATTGATATTTTTTTAATTACTAAACGCAAACGTCCAAAAAAAATATTTGTGTTTGAAACCGTGTAGTAATCCAAAGAAGGAGAGAGATAGAAGAATAAGGCTGAGTGGCTGACTTTGGACTTTGGATAGTAAATGCATTTTGCTGTCCATGTTGACTCTTTGAAAGCTAGCCTCTTCATTATTGTTGCTTCTCATTCCATTATTTTATTTAATTACTTACTAATTAACTCTTCTTTTCCTCTCTCACATATCAATCTTACTCACTTTTTCCTATAAATATAACCAACATCTCTCATCCACTTCTTCAGACAAAACCAAACCCATTTGGACTTTCTTTGTCTTAACCCTAAGATTTCCAAAGGTTTTTCAACAAACCCGCAACGATTGTTCTAATATCTCATCAAAACCCTTTCAATAGGTGAAAAAAATGGGAAGACCACCTTGCTGTGAAAAGATTGGAGTGAAGAAAGGACCATGGACACCTGAGGAAGACATCATCTTGGTTTCTTACATCCAAGAACATGGTCCTGGAAACTGGAGATCTGTCCCAACTAACACAGGTTTGTCTTTGTTTCTTGATCAAATTAACTAGTTAATTAGACCCTTTTATGTATTTATCTTGAAATTGTACTAGGGGTTGTGATTTATTGTCCTTTTTTTTCTCTGGCTTGGTTGGTTTGATCATTTAATATAAGTGTAATAAATAGCCAATAAGTTATGTCACCGACTCTTTCGTCCACACATCTCTAATTACCATTTAGTCTCTTGAGTTAATTTTTTTATTAATATGGTGGTTTAGGTCTGAGGAGATGTAGCAAGAGCTGCAGATTGAGATGGACTAATTATCTTCGACCCGGTATTAAGCGTGGAAATTTTACTGAGCATGAAGAGAAGACTATTGTTCATCTTCAAGCCCTTTTAGGCAACAGGTATATTTTAATGCACATGATCCATACTTGTCCAAAAAGTTACCTTTCTTGGGTTTATATATGTATATAATAAGATCTAAATATGTTTTTATTTGTGTATAGATGGGCAGCCATAGCATCATACCTTCCAGAAAGGACAGACAATGATATAAAGAACTATTGGAACACTCACTTGAAGAAGAAGCTCAAGAAGATTAATGAATCTGGTGAAGAAGATAATGATGGTGTCTCCTCATCAAACACTAGTTCACAAAAGAACCATCAAAGCACTAACAAAGGTCAATGGGAAAGAAGACTTCAGACAGATATTAACATGGCAAAACAAGCTCTTTGTGAGGCCTTGTCTTTAGACAAACCATCATCATCATCGTCGTTGCCGACACCAGTAATCACGCAACAAAACATCCATAGCTTCTCATCAGCTTTGCTTGACCGTTGTTATGATCCATCCTCTTCTTCTTCCTCTACAACCACAACTACGACTACAAGCAACACTACCAATCCACACCCATCAGGTGTATATGCGTCAAGTGCTGAGAACATCGCTCGGTTGCTTCAAGATTTCATGAAAGACACACCAAAGGCTTTAACTTTATCATCTTCATCTCCAGTTTCAGAGACCGGACCACTCGCTGCTGCAGTCTCGGAAGAAGGTGGAGAAGGGTTTGAACAATCTTTCTTCAGCTTCAATTCAATGGAAGAAACTCAAAACTTGACTCAGGCGACAAGCTTCTTCCATGATCAAGAGATCAAACCGGAAATAATAATGGACCAAGATCATGGTTTAATATCACAAGGGTCTCTGTCTTTGTTGGAGAAATGGTTATTTGATGAGCAAAGCCACGAGATGGTTGGTATGGCACTAGAAGGACAAGAAGGGATGTTCTAGTTCTAGAAGACTAGAACTAAACAAAGTGGGATCTTTTTTAAAATGAGGGCTTAATTAGTTATGAGTTATAACAAATAATATAGAGTTATAACCTATGTGCTTATTATTGCATTAGGGTTTTAGAGTCTTTAGTAGCTAGCTTTTAGCTCTACAACACTCTTTTTCCCTTTTGGTGATATAAATATCTCTCTTTTTTCTATATATCAAAAAATGTATGTAGCAGAATGTAACGCAGGGTTCATTATCTTTATAAATGTAATGTGTTGCACTTTGTGGCTCATATGGTTATGCAATTTATTGTCTTTTGATGTTTTTGATTATTTAAATCTTATATATCCTTAACACACAAATTTGTCATTGTATAGTTAGTTTTATTTTCTAAATTCTACCTTTAAGTAACTACTAAAAATGATTAATAGCATTCTCTTACACTTGCGGTTTTAATTATAACATATTTATATGAGATTGTTCACCCGAATTTTTGGTTTAGCTTGGGTTCATTTTTCTGATATAAAAGTTAATCTTAGTTCAGAACAATGTTTGTTTGGTTTAGATCCAATATTGGTTTCTCAGTATTGAAAACGGGACAGTTAAACATTTTCACTAATGATATATGTATTTTTTGTCCTTTCAAATCAATCATACTCCCGGAAGAAAAATGCCATTAAAGAGTCCACCTACTGAGTTAATTCCAACATTAATACATTTAATTATTTTATTTATTTATTATTAATTATGATGAGGCCGTATGTAATAATGTGGATTTGCAATTGACATAAATATTATTATTATATTTTGTGAGTTGTCAAAATCCTATTTCTTATATTTTTTTTTCTAAACAAATTTAGACTTCATTTTTTCCCAAAGGTATTTTTGAATTGTCTGAATGGTTATGAATATATCTAAAAACCAAACATAAAAATAGACATTTTAACATCTTTTTACCAACAAGATATATTATACGGGTTTAAATGCAAATGATGGAATTTGTAGACACTATTTTTATACATGTCAGGACATTATGTTGTTGGCGTATCTCTAAACAAAAGATAAGCCATATAATCCATAATCCAACAAACAATGTCAAAACAAATGTGTGAATAGGATAAGTAATGAAGAGGAACAATGCAGGCGCAGCCATATCTATACGTATACGATACACACATAGGCGTACAATAAATAAAGGAGGCAAAATCTAGTGGTGGAAACGAATTTGAAAAATATACAAAATAAAGAATAATATTTAAGCAAAAATAAAAAAGTATTAAATGCTAACATGTGAAGGGCTTGACTTGTTCCTGTGAAACACAGTGAGCTATGTTATGCCACCGAAAACTCCTTTTCGATTCTTATTAATTTCACACTCTCAAGACTTTATAGTTATATCTCAATCGTTGACTTGTTTGTTTTATTATTTCGGCTGTTGACTTCGTTGGATTAAAACTGGACTCATTCTTCAGGATATGTCAGTTATTTTTCGGTGCAATTTCTCTGTGTAAGACTGAGGAATATCGAATCTTCAAAGTGTTCAAAGTCATGGCTTATTTCATCATTTTTTAAGATTTTCCCATTGAATCTCTCTAGATTGATTTTTTTCCCCTCCTATGCTAAGTAATATGTCTGAGAAAATCTCGTATAAATTTATGAATTGAACAAATGGTTCTCAAACAATACAATACGTATGAATCTACATAATTTGGTCAAATACCTTATCGACATTGATTAAACCAAAAGAAAATCTCGTAATTATTATTATGATAATTTCCAACTCATACAAAGAGAATTGCGTGTTGGGTTATGGAAGAGGAAGACTTTTTTTTGGTCTGATGTCAAAATCCTCTCTGCTGGCATAAAAGGAGGTCGACGACTCTTCTCTGCTTGCTTGGTGGGATGAAATAAGAGTAGTAAGAAGACAATGTCAATAAAAGAAAATAGAAGAATTAAGACTTTTAAAATCGGCTTCGTCACATTTGGGCCTCCACAAGGGTCCACTTGGTCGATACTATGGGGCATAGCCCATCGTATAAGAGAATAATTTTGTCCAATTTTGCCAAATTTTGATTACTACTACCTTATTTACTATTTTGCCATTTCCTTGTGTAAAAGCCATATTAGCTCGAAAAAGAATTATTTCAACAAGATAAATTAAAACTTTAAAAGCATAATCATAAATTCATTAGGTGAACAATCTTTCTTTTCTCGTCCGTAAGAAGATAGACAAAGAAACTTGCCGTGTTTTATAATCTCAGTTTTGTGTGTTTGATGAAAACAACACGGTAACACAAACACACAAGCTACTACACAGATAGAGAGAGAGAAACAAACGTCGTGGATGATGATTGATTTCTCTTTACCGGTGATCTCGGGAATATAATCATTACGGTGAAGCTTCAGGTTGGTGGTGTGGATTAGATATAAGCTCTGGTGGTACAGTAAAGTGCAAACCTCCTCTGCGTTGTCCTCCCCCACCCGCGCCGCTATGTAACATAAACGCTACTTCTGCAGCTGCCAGAGCAGCAGCTTCCTGAATTTCACAAATACACAAGAATATCAGTATACATACACATGAGTTTAAATTTATGTGTTTTTAGTTTTTCCAAAGATTATTCTATACCTGTCTTTGTCTGCGACGTTGCAAAATACTAATAGCCCATGCCATGATGTAACAAGGGAGTAGAAAACCCGCGGCACGAAGCATGAAAAGCTGGCAAAAACCGAAGGAAGACAACAGAGAACGAAAAATGTTATAATAAGAAAGCAAGAAGAAGAGTTATGTAACGAACTGTGAGTAAGAGAGATGTAACGTACAAAGAAGAAAGCTGATGGATCGTCTTCTTCGTCATCTGAGTTGTTGTTTGTAAGGTTCAGAGCGTGCCGTAACAGTAAAAGCGCCATTAACTGCCATTTTCATTGTCAATAAGTTTCTATTTCAAAGTAAGAAATTAATAATAAAAAACAAACAAACGTGGACTTACAATAAGAGCAGCGGAGCGACAAAATGCAGCTCCGCTCGAGTTAGAATCCGCATATTCGTCATAGTCAGCATCAAAGAAATGGCGTTCTGCAGCCGCCATTGCCAAAATGCGTGGATCATTCAAATCTAAGGGAACACCATTGGCCCAATCTTCACTGCATATAACACACACAACAACAACAAAACAGTAGCATGAGTAATGTGCTCGATTACATATAATGAAATTTAGCTATGTTGTTTCCCACAATAGATAATCTATATGAAAAGGAAGAATTTTCAATTTTTTGAGTGCAGCTACATAAAAACATAGGATTAAGAAAAACTTTACCCGATATCAATTATGGTATCATCAGCAGGAGGAGGAGGAGGAGCGGTGTATCCAGGTTGATAACACTGTTTCCATAAGGAAGATAAAACAGTTATAAACTTGCATTCGGTGTAACCAAAAGATTATACAAAATGCTGTCAGTGGTTTGATTTACCTTGTGGCATATTTCACAGGTTGTGTCGCCTTTCTCATTACACCAACGTTGAACACACTTCCGATGTGCATACTAGACACAAATACCAAATTGATGAGAACTTTTTCAAACGAAAGATACACACAAAAACAAATAAAACAATGAGATATGAGATTCATTAATAAATTTGTCACCTTCAAACTGCCACTACAAGAACAAGGGGACTCGAGGTTCTTAACGGAATCCTCCTCTTGGCATATACGACATTCAACCGATTGGATAAGCGGTTCCTCTTCCTCAGCAACATCGCGTTGTTCTGTTGCCTCATCTTCCTCGGTTTTACCATCCATAGACAGGCTTGTGGAACCTTGAGCTTTAGAACTCTCTCCAGAAGATTCAATCGATTGATTGGATCCTCTCTCTGAATTTAAACTTTCAGGTTTTACGAGACGGTCAGTACTTGAACTCAGATCATCAGCCATCTCTCTTTTAGCCTCAATGCGTAAAAAAAAACGTTGACCTGTTAAAAACCAAGAAAAGCTACCAAGATTCAAAAGAAAAATCTCATAATCAACGAAGCAAAATGACACAAATGTTCCATCATCAACACATAAATCTCCATTTCTTTGAAACGAAACATCATAATTGAGCTCAGACAATCAATTTCATTTCATTAAAGCGGAATAATTCTGGGAAAAAATGTCTTAATGGGAAAGATTAGGATCTGAGTTAAAAATAAGTCCTTCTCTCAACATTTCCCCAAATTTTCAACACAAAGACCTAATCAGAAAATCCCCAAATTTCAGAATCCCATCTCAACCATGAAAACAAGAGAGAGATACCATTCGATTCGATCACAATTCAGGAATGAAACCTTAAATTCCCAAATCGCAGAATCAAACAACCGTAACCCTAAAAGAAAAATGAAAAGGATAAAAGAGAAGAAGATCAAATTATGATTACCTATAGAAGAAATATTCTGAATCGCAGAAAATGGGAAAAAAAAAAGCTCTCTTTCGATTTCTTGAAAGGGCACACACAGCTTTCAGATGAATTTCGGACAAATCTGTTTTCTTGTTTGATGTTCGGTCTGAAAAAATTCAGATAAGTAAATCAAAATTTCGAAGCGCGTGTAAACAGATAAATAAATAGATATATAATTAAATACACAAACCGGAGCTATATGGAGGTTGACGGTTTGACACGGTAACGTGATAATCCGATTTTCACAAAATTTTTATTTTTACTTTGTTGTACCTATCTATCTTGGTTGAGATCTTGTTAGATTTTAGATAATACTATTACAACAATAGCTCTTTACCAAAATACGATAAAATGAATTCATTATTTTTAGAAATTCAAGATTGAGGTGTTTGACTGTTGATAATATGGTAAGATTGACTAGATGCACCATTATGATTTCTTTTTTACTTTCGAGAAGCAAGAAAAATAATTCCAATTATGTCAAATTTTGAAAAACTAAGAAGTTCCATTAATTCCAAGAGATGTAAATAACTTCAAAAGATGTTAGTTTGACTTTGACATTTTCCTAAATGGCAAATATTGCGCTTGAACAACAAGTTAAGACGTCCAAGTCTCCAAGTCCAAGGTATCCCGACAGCCTAAACACCTCAAAACGTTCTCTTTAAAATATACTATGTCTTTTGCGATTCCAAAATTATTCTTGTCGCTTTTAAAATTCCGTATATAAATTGGAGTATTTTTTAATAATTAAACTACGGTGCTCTACTGGTTAAAATATTTTTATTTTGTAAATCAAAATACCACTTTTTAACAAATTAAAAAATTATAATATCATTTATTTTGTAAATTATAATAATATCGAGATTTGAGTTTTTTCTTCTACGATTGTTTGGTCACTGGCTATAATCCAAATTTTCTAAAACAGTAAAAATAATTTATAGACTCTTTTTTTGTCAACAAAATAATTTGTAGACTTAAAATGAAAAGATTTAAGAGACGTAAAAAAAAAAGTGGACATGTCGATGACAAACTAGTTACCACAGTGAAATTTCCGGTTTTTATGTATGCCGTCGAGCCAAAAAAATCCAATGGACCGAACCGGTTCGGTTCAATCGGAAAACCGAAACCATATATAAGGATACCGCTTAGCCTAGCCGATTTCAGTAGGAGTCACTCACCCTTAAACCCTAGAAATCGTACAAGGAGAAAGAGGAGAAAAAAGGCGAAAGCTTTACTAGTTTATCAATGGCAGAGCAACAAGAGATCCTCGATTCCGTGTCAGCTCAAGTGAACCCAGACCAGAAAGTTGACATGGAGGTCGAAGCCGCAGCCCCAAAAGCCGAGACCGGCGATGAGAAACGTGAGAGAGAGGAGACAGAGGAAGAAGAGAACGGAGGTGAATTGAAGAAGCAGAAGGTGGAAGAGGAAGAGAAGTCTGGTCCGGTTAAACTCGGTCCGAAGGAGTTTGTTACCTCTGTGGCGATGTTCGATTACTTTGTCAAGTTTTTGCACTTTTGGCCAACTGATCTCGATGTTAATAAGGTAAGACATATTTGTGTTTCTCTTCTTCTTTGTCTTTTGGCTTTTTTTAATTGTAAAGTTTCAATTTTTAAAAGTATATTCCTTTGCTCGAGACTTATATGGGTTGATCTAAGAGCTCTGATTGCGGTTATTTAGCTCGGTGATGTGTTTAGGAAGAGGTTTTATCAATGAATCTGATGATGATCGTGCTTTGTAGTTAAACGGAGACAAATTGAGAATTGGGTTCGCCTTTGTATTGGTCATATGATTTGATTATGGGTTTAGTGTTTGGAGTTAGAACTTTTTTTTGTCTCGAATTATTGATTGTCTACAATATGCAATGTGTTTAGGGAGATGATTAATTAAGGAATATGTACGACATCATCTTTCATTGTTAAGTCGAGACAGCTAGTGAACTGGGTTCCTTTGCAGCTATTACTAGTTTACTTCTTAAAAGTTCTTGGCAAATGTATCGTCTTCTTTATTGATTATATGATTGTGGATTGTGTTTGAATTAGAAACTTTTTTGGGGTCTTGATGTCATTTAATGGTTAGAAGAATCAAACTATATCAAATTTTGAGGGCACAAGCATAAAAGATAAACATTGCATAGTTATGTAATATGACAGTTGTTGCAGTTTCTTTCGAGCTTCCTAACTAACTTTGTTCTTGATTGTATATTTCAGTATGAGCACATGGTGCTGCTAGATCTGATCAAGAAGGGCCACTCTGAGCCTGAAAAGAAGATCGGAGGAGGAATCAAAACCTTCCAAGTCAGAACCCACCCGATGTGGAAAAGCCGATGCTTCTTTCTGGTTAGGGAAGACGATACTGCTGACGATTTCAGCTTCAGGAAGTGTGTTGATCACATCCTTCCATTGCCTGAAAACATGAAGAGTCCTGGAGCTAATGGCAATGGACATGGTGGTGGTCGTGGTGGCGGTGGTGGAAGAAGAGGTGGCCGTGGTGGTGGTAGAGGCGGGAGATTCAGAAGATGAATTTGCTGACACTTGATATTTTATTTCAAAAGAAAATTTTGAAAATTTCATATTTAGTTTTGTTGTTGAAAACTTAAAAAAGTTGTGATCTTGTCGAATGCTACTGTATTTTGTCAGTTTATATGACCTATTATTGCTGAAAAGGAAGAATGGTCTCGTCTCTATCTTCAGAACTTCAGCGGTTACACAAGACAGCTTCAATAGATTTAAAATCTGACATTTTTCAAAAGTTTTGACTACACGAGAAGAAACTCAAAACTGATCAAATTCTGAAAGCATATCAAACCAATCTAATGCTAGATTAAAGTTTGATTTGTTTTTCTGTTTTAAACCAAAAATCCAGAGTAAGAGAAAGACAAGGCTCAAACTAAAGAAACAGCTTGTAAAAAATGATCATCCTAAACCTAAAGTATCACACACACAGATACACACAGACGCACACAAACTGTCTTTGAAAGAAACGGAACTTCTTTTTTGGTAAGCCTTTCTTAGATTTAGGAGGCTTCTAACTTGATATAGTGCATGCAATTACTGTAGTTTGTAAAATCTATGATCTGACGAAAGTGTGCAGGTGAATAAGGGACCCGTAGAAGCTGACGTGGAAAAAGGCAGAGTTTGATTTAGACCCTCAAATCTCTCTGGTAAAGAGTTCCGTAATCATAAAAATGTGGCAGAGACTTCAAAAGAACTTTTTAATAACAGCCAACGAGAGAGTGACACTTCATATCTTTTACCGTTCACACTTCGCTAATGAAAAAATTATGTTAGAGCATGGTCATGGGTGATACTCATAAAATATCATTAAGAATTTTTTAGTATTATTTATAATATTTGTTTAATGTTTTTTAATTTTTTTCTCTTACTTTTGGTAAACGCGACCAATCAGGAGATGCCACGTCAGATGATACTGGTATCAAAAGTATCACTGAGTTGATACTAATCATGCAAATTCTAATTGTTTTGTTAATATAAAAATAATTTATGGGCTTGTGATACTCTAAAAGTATTACCCATGTACGTGGTCTTAGAATATGGTTGTGAATTGACTTTTATTTGACTTTTTTTTAATGATAATTGAATTTTTGGATGATATCACAGAACGACGTACAGGTCTATATATATTGTTCAGTAAGTGTAGAAATTTGGATTGAATAACCAAATGATTCAAAAATGTTTAAATCCTTGTTCCATTTGTTTTCCTACTTTAAAAAACAAAGGTTCGTGGCTTCATATTATCTGTGATCAAATCTACCAAGTAACCAAAGAAGGGTATATTTTTCTCCATGCCAAAAAGTGTGGATCGTTTTCAAATGAAGGATTTTTATCCTTGTACCAACCAATTAAGAAATTGCACGTAACAAGACAGCTCTCGTGGGAGCTGCAACAAAGCCATCCCCGCGATGCTGACATTTACCTACCCAAAAGTTTGTAAACAGTTTACATAATTATTTTTATTTTATTTTCGTTTTATTTCAATTCAAACCAATAGGTAGATAATTGTTTAAGATATGTTATAAATCTCATATCAGTATAGATTATAGAATAAAGCGTGTTTATTAATCACTTCATTGCATCCTTGTAGGAGCACTTCATTTTTCGTTCAAACTTGATATGCATTTATTCCCAAGTATATAAGTACCTAAGAGCTTCTTGATCTGTTTGTTTAACAGAAAGTTTAGTGAAAATCTTAAACAAATAAAAAATTCTATTCTTCGAATAGTTTTGATAAAGTTTTTTTAAAATAACAAAAGATTATATGCTATGGTTTTAATGGGGTTTGGGAGAAAAGTAAAATATCGGAGGCCACATAAACTTGTGGTCGAGAATCAAACCAAAATGCTGACCTGGCATCCACTTCACTTTTTAAAACGTATCAAAATCCCAAATCTCACGATTTCCAAACCAAAAAAAAATTCTCCAATATACCCAAACCCCAAAGAAACATCTTCGAAGAGAAACAAAAAAAAAGCTGAAGAGAAAGGAAAAAAGACAGACAGAGTTAGAAACTTACGAGAAAAAAGAAAATAATGCTGGAAACTAAAGATCCTGCTATTAAGCTCTTTGGTATGAAAATTCCTTTCCCGAGGGTTTTAGAGGTTGCTGATGAAGAAGAAGAAGAAAAGGTACTGATTATGTTTGTGTTAGAGACAAGAAGTATCGAGAAAATTAGTTTTGGTGTTTTGAAAAGTGGTTTTTTGAGTTTTTGTTCATTTTACCATTAAAGGCAAAGCTCAACTGTTTTTGTTGGTATCCTTTTTATAATCATAGTTTGATGAATTGGTAAACTTTTTTGAGATGTCTTAAGCAAAATACAATAAAACCGACCTCTGTTTAAACCTCTACACTGTTTTCTGTTGTGAGTTTTGGTGAACCAGAGGTTGCAGTTTGGTTTGTTGACTTTTCATGAAACGAAAAAGCAAATTCGTTTCTCCATAAAATAATCATATTTTAGTAAAAAAAAAGATTGCTTTTTAGTGCACTCAAAAATCAATAAAGGTGAGAGAATTTAGACTTCTACTAAAGCAAAAGACTTTTTCCTCCACCAAAATTTTATCTAGAACCTTCTTGAGAATCATACACATGATAATATAAAATTTAAATTTATTTCTTTTTAACATGGTTCAAAAATATTATTCTTTCTTTACTCATCCGTCCCTAATAATCCGATTTCATTGTCTTGCATCAGAACCAAAACGAGACATTAACTGATCAATCGGAGAAAGACAAAACCCTAAAGAAACCAACCAAGATTCTTCCATGTCCAAGATGCAACAGCATGGAGACAAAATTCTGTTACTACAACAACTACAACGTAAACCAACCTCGCCATTTTTGTAAAGCTTGTCAGAGATATTGGACCTCTGGTGGGACCATGAGAAGTGTTCCCATCGGAGCAGGACGACGCAAGAACAAGAACAACTCATCGTCATCAACTTCACATTACCAACACGTGACTATCTCCAAAACAAATGGTCCGGTCCTTAGTTTCAGCCTCGGAGATGATCAAAAAGTCTCGAATAATAGGTTTGGGAATCCAAAGTTATTGGCTAGGATAGAGAAAAATGACGAGCGCTCAAATAACAACACTTCGAACGGTTTGAACTGCTTTCCGGGAGTCTCTTGGCCGTACACGTGGAATCCTGCGTTTTACCCGGTTTACCCTTATTGGAACATTCCAATGTTGTCTTCTCCGGTTAATTCAAGTCCTACTTCTACTCTCGGTAAGCATTCTAGAGACGAAGACGAGAAGATGACGCGAAAACAGAGGAATGGATCTGTATTGGTTCCTAAGACTTTGAGAATTGATGATCCTAATGAAGCTGCAAAGAGTTCTATATGGACAACTCTTGGGATCAAGAACGAAGTTATATTCAATGGGTTTGCTTCGAAGAAAGAGGTTAAGATTAATAACAAAGAAGAAACAGAGACTTCTCTTGTTCTTTGTGCAAACCCTGCTGCGTTATCAAGATCAATCAATTTTCATGAGCAGATGTGATTGTATACATATGATATATACGTGTATGTATGTATAGATGTGGTGGAAGATTAAGTTAGATAAATCAAGATCTGTCTTTTTTCTTCTTTCGTCGTGGCTTACATGAAGCTTTATTATAGCTTTTGTACCATACACTTTTTAGTCTTTTATGTTTGATTTTTGATGTAAGATTAAATAACGATGAAAAGAAAGTTCGTTTTAACCGTTACTTTAGGGTGTTTAGAGTAAAAAGAACTGTTGTGAGAATTTGAGATAGTCATCTTATTTACTTTAAACACGAGTGGATAAGTAAAGTAAGATAAGATAATGTAAAAGTTTCTTGATATTGACCTCTTTTATGCGATAATTAACAGTTGTGTGCTGGTGCGGGTGGGCACGATAAAACAGCACAAAACATAATAATTGAATATGGAAAACAAAGCAAATAGCAACAAAAAAAAAACTTTAATGAATATTAGGGTTTATCAAATTTTGCCAGAATTTTTCAAATTATCGTTCATTAACCTTTTTACTTTATTTTCTGCGACTTTATTTGCAACTAAAGCCCCTTTTAGTGGAGTGTTGTAATTTAAATCATTTTCATATAATGTTTTTTTGGTAAAGTACATAGTATCTTTGGATAATTTGTTGACCAACCATATCAAACTAATGTACTTTTTTTTTTTTTTTTTGATAAACCCTATCGGCTGATCCGGTCGGCCTCGATAGGAACGCACCGAGGTGCTACAGAGTGGACTTCTCCCGATCCAGGTAGAATTGGGCCACCACACTGTCTGATCCGAGTTTGGAATACCTTCCGACTAATGTCAGGGGGTAGTCAGGCCGCCTGCATTTCTGACTACCAGATAAACCAATTGGCCCAAGGCCCAACTGACAGACTTCTCAAACAAATGTGTTTTTGTTTACAGGGAGAATCGAACTCGGGTCTGGGAGTTTCACCCTTCACCAAAGCTTCCTCTGCCACTAGACCACAGAGGCTTACTTTATCGAATACTTCTCTGATCGAAACCTGGTTTAAGATTTTTTTAGATTAAAACGAAGAATAGCAATATTGAAAAAGTAGACCGCCCCTTCACTCGTCGATAGAGTCTGAATCTGAATATAATCATTTGTTTACTTATTTTTATTTTCCTTGTTGAATATGCTGAAAAAGATGGATCACATTGTGTTCCGAAATTCATTTATTTTTATGAACTTTGGTCTGTGAGTCTGATAGCAACTTAGATATTTTGGACAGCTTAACTAATAGTAGCCACAAATGTAATTATCCTGAACCATTTTTTATTCCATCCTTTTAAATTCTTAATAACGTGGGAGTTGGGACAAAGTATTTTTCATTGCTGAAAGTGAAGAGCAGGGACACGTTGCTTTTTTCCTTTATACAGTATAGTATTATCTATGCGACCCAAAACTATTAAGTATCATAAATCTGGAACTTCTCTAAATGTTAATAAGAAGAAGAGTACTTTTAACCCACAATAGTTTTAATCTAGCCTTCTAGAGCCGATTTGAATCAGACAGCTTTTTAACCACGTTAGACCAATTTTCTTGGTTATTCAGATATCTTAGTGTCATTGAATTTGTGTCTTTAAACAATTCCTGCAAAACAACATAAATTCGAGTGTGTTCGACACAAAGCACATCATAAATAGAGAAATAGTTTTTGATCGAGAAAAGTAGACAAAGTTGAAAAAGGCAAAGTACACTTAGAAAGTGAATGAAAATGAAACTTTGGGTGAGTAAACTCTGCGAGTATGACACGTGTAAGTAATCCATCTACTTCGCCTTTAAAGATGACCGGACTCCTCCGTGTAAAAACCGAAAAAGAGACAATTTTTTTGTGTTTTAACTTTTGGCCATAAATTAAGTAATTTGTTCTTAAAATTGTTTTTAACAGCAAAATAGAGCCACTATTTTCATCTTTTATTCCAGAGGAAGAATCATCAAAGTGCAAAGAAATCACAGCCACTTTCATATTACCATTGAGCTGTGGTATCAACATACAAATCCCAAACGAGTCGAAAGAATCAAGTCGTAACGCTCCAGTTACACATGCTTAAAGGCAACATCAGAATTTTCAATGGCATATTTCTGTAATACGAATGCCTCTTAAGTGTGCATGAAGAAGTTGAATAAAATTATTGAAAAGAAAGAGAAGACTGCAACAGAGAGGAAGAAAACATTGACGAGTTAATTTTTTCTGGATTGCTATTTCTACGAAAATTTGCAGTCTGAGTCAGGGAATGTTCATCCGGCATTCATCAACATTTAGTTCACCTAATTAGTAACTCACAGAGTATACATCTTCATATCCAAATTAAAGTTGATTGTGATTCAAAGATTCTGCTTCTCTTAAAACAATATATATATATATATATATATATTTAGTTTAATTCTTCCAACTCAAACTTACTAATATTTTTAAATTTTGTAGCAAACTTACTACTCATATTTATTTTACACAAATTCATGGTCAGTTTCGATTATAGATAGCTTTCATGAAGGCCATCTCAAGTTCAAAGGAAGCAGACTTTGCTGAGGCCCATTTTCAATTGAATTCTCTCCAAACTATGTGCAACGAGAACGAGGTTTCCTACCAGTTCTTCCGTTGACTGAACCAGATCTATCGGTTAAACCGATCTGCTCATCCAACAGTTACGTTATTTGGGCCCGTAAAGCAGATTTCTATATAATATTTTTACTATTTTTGGCGGGATGAGCCAAGCCCGTGCAGTAGTGCAACGCATGGGCGACTCGCGAAAGCCCAGATAGCAAGCTATCTTAGTGGGCCTTCTCCCTTAAAAAATTGAGTTAATATCGTGTGGACCGATGGCCCACATACCAGATATTAAACTGATAAGAACAGATACTACACTTGATCTTAGCCAAAAGGCCGAGAAAGGTATGAACTGATCGATTCCGTGGCCTCATTATTTATACTACTTCGCGTGTCTTCAACTCTTATGTTGTTAGCGATGTGGGACTTTGCAACGAGTTAAAAGTTATAACAAAACAAACCGTCTCTCTCTTTTAGTGGGCTTTGCACACGTAGCCCAGATAATTTTTATCCACACGTAGCCCAAATAATCTCAGATTTTGGTTTAGCGTATGTATAACAGTCTTGACCAAGTTGAACCGGTACCGATTTATCTAATTAAAAATTGTTTTTGTTACCTTGGATAACAGTCTTGCCGGCGACAATGGTTTTGATCCTGTGGTTCATACATGTTGTAGTGACTTTATGTACCCAAATGTGCAAAGATCATAAGCAAAGAGAATGTGAAGATGAAATTACATTTTGAAGTGAATGACGTGAAACCCTAATCAATTAAATTTCATTATCCCAAAGTTGTTGGATGGATTTGTAAGGGCTTGTGGTTTGATTAACAAGGAACTCTCCTCTCATGATCTTCCATTCCTCCAAATGGTCAATGAGTGATAAGTCTTGATCATCCAATTTAATCTCTAAAGCTCTCTTGTTTTCTCTCATTCTTGCTCCATTAAAACTCTTCACTATCACACTTGCTCCTTTTGACATTCCCCATCTTAGTGCCACCTAGATATGAATAATTTATTGGTTATAAGTCAATAAGTCTCTTAATGAACAAAAGAGGAAGGAACTCAAATTCTGGAGATACCTGAGCAGGAGTAGCATTATGCTTGAGAGCAATGGATTTGATGATAGGATGTTCAATCACAGCCGTTGATCCCCAACAATTCCCTGGCCCACCAAGTGGAGAATATCCACTTACATGGATATTGTTCTCTTCACACACTTTTCTTAGCTTTCTTTGTCTCCACAATGGATGCATTTCCACCTATACATATATATGAAAATATTTAGTTTCTTGAATTTCCCCAACAAGAAATCTTGGTGGTAATGTTGAATCCAAACCTGGTTAACCGAAGGATGGACAGAAGCGAAATCGAGGAGATCAAAGATTTTCTTAGAAGAGAAGTTGCTAACACCAATAGATTTACACAAACCCATCTCCAAGCATCTCTCCATGCCTTGCCAAGTTTCTTCAATCCCCAAATCTTTCTCAAACTCATCTTCCTTTGGTATAGGCTCATTCACTCCTGGCTTTAGCTTTATTGGCCAATGCACCAAGTAGTTGTCTAGATACTCTAGACCCATTGTCCTATAAGCCATAAACAATGTTATCATGAGATCGATCCCTCAATCTTCATATCGTAAGTGAGTTTTTGTGTGTTTCTGGAGAGAAGCTTACTTGAGAGTTTGTATGAGGGCAGAGATAGGGTCATGGTGATCACTAGACCATAACTTGGAAGTGACAAAGAGATCATCTCTTTGGACAGTCCCATAGGAGATAGCTTGTCCCAATGCAGTTCCAAGAGCTTCTTCTGATCCATATATCTTTGCTGTGTCAAAATGTCTATACCCTATCTGCTTCCATTCCAATGAAAAATCTTATAAGATTATTATGGGAATGGTATAGAAGTGAAAAATACATTATATCATAAGATCATTTGATTAAGTAAATTCATGAAAATGAACCTTGATAGCTTGATGGACGGCTGAGATGGTGGTCTCTCGATCTTTTTGAGGACAATAAGTTCCCATTCCAAGCAATGGAATCGTCTTCCCACACCTGAGACGTGCCACGTCACTCCTCATCTCTCTATATCTCTTTCTTTTCTCTTGATGAGTTTTTTTTTTCTTTCCACTCTCTGTTGCCTCTATGATATGTTTATATAGGCTACTAAAAGGTCAACGAGCTTGACTTTTTTTCGTTGTGACATCAATTATTATTTGTAGAAATATATGACCTATTTATGGAATATTATGATAGTTAATGTTTTTAGAAGTTTTTTGAAATATAATAAGGTTAGGACTGTGGAGGTATCGAAGCACGAGAGTTTTCCATGTCTTCTGGGATTTTCTTAGCCTACCCAAATCTTAATCTCTCAAACCTCAAGATGATATCCTCTCTCAATAAATTTCCTCATTTAGTGTTTCCAAAATATAGGTGCTCTTACATTTTTATTTTGCAACTTGATCATATTCGACTGAATTGTACACGCTAATTACTTGTTTGTCAACTGTTTAATCTTTA